GTCTCCGGCTCTGCAGTTGTATCACCCTCGTCAGCCTGGCCAAGAAAGGTTTATGATTGGTCAGTCTTTGTGCATATGCGCAGACCATTCTCTTTCCTTACTCCCAGAAGTTGGCTGAGATGTCAGAGTTGGCAACACTGCACATCGGTGCTGAAAAAGAGATCTGTGTCATTGTAACCATCCCTGCAACGTGATTGACACATTGGACTGTTTACTGATTATTTTACTGTCCAATTCTTACATAGTTCAACTTTAAAGCACTGATTAAATGTAAAGGAGAAGACATGGTTGGTTTTGTGTAGACAGATTGAGTGTTAAAGCCTCTGACCTTAGAAACACTTGTCCTGCAGCGACCTCTGTTGGCCACCGGAGAGCTGCAGTGCCAAACAAAGGCCTCAACACAAGCAAAGATAATAAAAAGATTAATTTGTGTTGTCTGTGTGTGTGTGCACAGAGGATAAGCATCCAGTTGTTCCAGAAACAGCTGGGGTCCGACTCCCTCATGACATTGAAGAGGGTGAGAGCTGCTCCACTCCCAGTGTTCCTTTCTGTGTCTGTTTCTGCATGTGTGTGTGTGTGTGTGTGTCCCATTTGCGTTTGTGGTTCTGAAGGACTACCGGCCCATCAGACCCTCTCACCTAAGAGATCTTGTCTCCACAGAGATTGCCAGTGATGCTGTTTAAGAACATTTTCTGGTACGTCTTTGGCCCAAAGCCCCGGAACAAGAGCCATCAGCCCAAAGTCTTCTTCTGACCCAGTTAGACGACTTGGATTCTGGCTCAAAGGCATGCTTTCCAGAGCAGAGGGAATACAGACACCTTTGCTCTCTAGTCCTTAAGACTACAGTTTAATTTTACTAAATTTATTAATAAAGCACCATTTCACAGCATGAGGTGTCTCAAGGCACTTTACAAAGCAAACTTTCCAATTGAACCTACTTATCACTGCACTGAGTTCAGTTCATTATTCTTATTAAATGAAATGTTTTGAAAGGTGCAATATGTAATGACACAAAGAATGACATCCTGTGGCCAAATTTGTGTACTGCAGCCCATTTTCTCTATCTGTTTCATGGCTGTTGCCAGTTACTGATAATGAGTGAATACGCGTCTTACAAATTCACTCTCAGTCAGCTGGGTAGAGGCCAGTTCTTTCCTCTCAAAAAGCCAAAGAGAGATGTAGCCATTGTTTACAACCTGTGAGCCTGTGGGGTTGCCAAGTCTGCACAAGTTAACGCTTCTCCACCAGCATTTGAACTGGACACCGGCCAGCAAATAAATAAATTAATTAAAAAACACACTACCAAGATGTGACTATAATAAGTATGGTAAGTGTTCCCTACCACAAAACAACCAAGAATGCTAGCACCAGATTTGGCACTTTCACATCTGGGTCGGCCTGGCCCAGCCCTGGTAGTTTAATTGTGTTCACCTCTGGGTAATCTGTGCATTTTCCGTAGTTTTTTTTTTTTTACCTGTTCTCCAACAGTCTACTTCATGAAAGCCGGCCCCACACACCAACTACCAATTGAGTGGCTGGCTAAAATTCACGCCTACCTATACAGGAAGCCTCTGGTTGACGGGGTGAATCAGCCAACAGCAGTTTCCCGCATGTGTGGTTCATTATCAGTCTGGATGTGTTGGAGTAAACTCTGTTGCTTGGACCTGCTGCTCCAGCCGCAGCAGTGTGAGAACAGAGCACACAACACTTTCAGTGAAACAGGAAGCTGTGTGCTTCATATCAGTCTCCAGAAGCAACACTTCTCACGGACGCCTTTCATCCAGAAAGCGTAGGTGTCGCCGTCTTCCTCTGTCGCTGTGCATGTTTAATCTCTCCGCTGCCTCCTCCTGCAGGTCGAGTCACGGTGTGTAGTGCTTCTACAATGGCCGCACCACTGTCTAGTGACACGCTCTGACCTTGTGTCTTCGCTGGACACATTTAAAGCAGACAATATCCACCACATCTCTTCTGGCACCACTAGCTGCTGCTGCAAGCCTGGCTCTGGGTTGCGATCTTGCCTTCATGATGTTATCTTCTTGCTCCATTAAGCGCATTTTCTCTGTGTCCTCATAGCTGCGTAGTTTAGTTTTAAAATCAGTCAACTTTATTTCTGATTCACACTGTGTGATGTGAACAGAAAAAGGTTTAAAACTGTCTGGTAAACCCTATAACACCAATGCTACCAGCAGATCATCACTAAGTGCTTCTCCGGCATTTCTCAGGGCTGTAATGAGTCTCTGCCCGTATGAAGTATTCTGTCATATGCTCACTGCTTGCTTTCTTCAGAGATGTCAGTTCAGTATAAAGGCTGATAATTCTTGGTGTACCTTTTCCCGCATAGTAGTCTCTCAGTATCTTCAACGCTTTACGTCCATCGTCGGCAGCATCTCTCATCACGAGTGATACTCTTATCATCCAGGAACTGTCTTAATTCAGCATAGGCCTGGGAGTTCTTGTCTTCATCTTCATCATCTCCCTCGGTAATGTCCAACCTTGTAATCGAAGATGTCCTAAGAATTTCGCCTCCCATAGCTCATAATTGTTCTCGTCTTCATCGAAAACCAGTCTCGTCCATCGACTGTTCATCTCCATTGCATGCTTGCTCATTATGCTATCTTAGCATGCTAGTCCGCACCACACCAAACACACTGCACTTTGCGACTTCCCTGGTGGCGGTGGCATCCTTTTAAGTCACTTTGGATATTGGGCCCATAACCTGTTAGCAGAGACGTGTCTTCAGCCAAATCTGCATGTATATACTGAAGCAACTCAGGAGACATCAGCTTACTTCCTGTAAATCTCACAAATGTGATTTCCTCTCTCTTTAGTATAGTCTCGCGTAAATATGCAAAAGAGAGAAGAAAAAAAAAACACAGAACAGGAAGCACCCCGACAAAATAAAATCCCAACAAATGAGAGCATACACATTATACTTAACAGTTTGTACCGTAAATCCTCTAATACAGGCCCGGCCCTGTATTTTACTCAAGCTCATCAAGCTCCAGGCCTTTATTGGAAGGAGGGCCAGAATTAGAGGCAGGCCTCAATTTCTATTTGAGCAAAATGAACTACCAGTAGAATGAATTAAAATGGGGTGTGTCTATTTAAACCTATAACATACTAGGTTCATTTATTGAGAATGTACAGTTACCATAACGTGGTGCGGTTTGCATATAAAACATTATCAACAAGGCTAAATTACAGTAGGGAAATACTGTATTGTAACAAAACAATAGCAAACATACCTGTACTGCATTTTAAACGCTATTAAATACCGGTATTAGAAAAGGCAACAGCCACCTTACCGCTTCAAAGTTGAATCATTTTGTCTCGTTTGGGTTGTAGAGAAAAAAAAAACCCGTCAAATTCAATTCAATCTTTGTCCAGTTTAAAGTTAAAAAAATTAATAAATACCGGTAATCCAATTCAGTTTAATCCTCATCCAGTTTGATGGGTCGATGTTAAAACGTTTAGCAGCTTGTTCCCCAGAGTGTTCTGCAGCATAAATCAGCACGTTCTCTTTGAACTTTATCAAATGTTCGCCTCCTTTTCAGCTCTGCACCTGCCATGGTTAAAGTTACCCTCGCGATCTATCACTGGCAAATAAAAAGTGAGACGGATGACACAACCGCCGCCCTGTGGTACATGTCTGTTACCACATTCCACCCGGCCACAATAAAAAAAAAAACGGCCATTATTCACCTCCGCCGACTCCGACACTGGCCAAAATGTGATACCCGGCCGTTAATTGAATACAGGCCAATATTAGAGGATTTACAGTATACATAATATGTAGGAAAAGATCAAGTCTGTCTGTCTACTTAGTGAGAGAGAGAGGTTTTTATGTCGTCGTCGTCGTCTTCCTCCGCTTATCCGGGTCCGGGTCGTGGGGGCAGCATCCCAACTAGGGAGCTCCAGACCATCCTCTCCCTGGCCACCTCCATCAGCTCCTCCGGCAGGACCCCAAGGCGTTCCCGGACCAGATTGGAGATGTAACCTCTCCAACGTGTCCTGAGTCGACCCGGGGGCCTCCTGCCAGCAGGACATGCCCGAAACACCTCCCCAGGGAGGCGTCCAGGAGGCATCCTGACCAGATGCCCAAACCACCTCAACTGACTCCTTTCGGTCTGGAGGAGCAGCGGTTCTACTCCGAGTCCCTCCCAAATGTCCGAGCTCCTCACCCTATCTCTAAGGCTGAGCCCGGCCACCCTACGGAGGAAACTCATTTCGGCCGCTTGTATCCGCGATCTCATTCTTTCAGTCATTACCATAGGTGAGGATTAGGACGTAGATCGACCGGTAAATCGGGAGCCTGGCTTTCTGGCTCAGCTCGCTCTTCACCACCACAGATTGGCTCAGCGTCTGCATCACTGCAGATGCTGAACCAATCCGCCTGTCCGGACACCCACAGACCAGCCACGCCCTGTAGGCCTCCTTCTTCAGCCTGACGGCTCCCCGAACCTCTGGTCTGTTTTCATGTATTATATTTATATTGATCCATTAGTTGTAGTCATATCTACATTAATTTCATTCTGTAATTTCCCATTTAGACCAAAATAAATCTTAATCCGTTAGTCTGAAGGATTTCATGTCATAACCTGTTAAAGCTGCTTCACGTTGTTAGTCTGCATGCTAAGCTGCACTGCATTCGCTTACGTTTTAGCTCATGTTGCTTAGCTTTAGCCTTAGCCCACGCAGCTTCTTCACGCTGCCATTAGCTTCTGCTCACTCAGCTTTGTATGTCGCCGCAGGGCTCCTTCATCCTTGTCAATAAAGCCTTTAGACATCGAGGAGTGCATTTCTTCACCCTTCAGCTGGTCTGGGAACTCCTGAGCATTTATAGAACTTCCTGCAAACAGAACCTGGTCAGGATGTGGAGGAACTAGCCATCAGCTCCAACAACAGGAAGGGATCTTCTCAAAATAAAGCCTTTTTGAATAAAATCTTTAAGGCGGTTTCTTGTCCAGGTGAGTTGCACTTGAAAAACCTGGAGGCGGAGCTACGTTTAAAATATTTTATTTGTTTTAAAATATACATCGTTTACAAACTGAGAAAATAAAATCATCAGCCGAGTTTAACAGTCAGAGAGTTTCTCCCCAACAGGAAGTGAAACAAAAACACAACAGGAAACAGCACCTGTGGGAGCAGAGCAAGGAAGCGGGGCTACAATCACCTAGATGTCCTGGAGGATATTTCTCTAAGCGAGCTCAGAACATCAGGGCTGTCCTGGTAAATCCCTGCTGGTTCACTCAGGGATTCATCCGTAACCACCAACAAAGCTCACGTACAGACCTCTCCAAGTAAAGCGGGAAGCAGCAAGTGAGCATCACACGAGTCCGCAGGCAGATCCTGTTAATCGATGCCAGATAAATGATAAAGGACAGAGCCTCGTATTTCTCCCAGACTGAAGAGAATGAATAATTCCTGTCTACGAGGACTACAAAGATATCAGAACTAAAATGATATCATGAGCTGTTTGAGTAAAGCCGGGTTGCTCGGGCCATTTACAGTGGCGCGCCCAGATAGTTTTCATAGGGGTGGAAGGGTGGGGCGAAGGATGACGGACGACACACCGTGTGGTAACCGTAACCGTAGGAGTTCAGCCTGTGGCGATGCGCTGCTTCGTTTTTTTAAACTCTAGAAGGCACTATCAAATACAGGCCATTAACATGTTTAATTAAAGTTTCATCATTTATGTCGTTTTCATGTTCTGCTCCAGAGTCTGGAGGACTTTGTTTCTGCTGGGCAGCTGTGAGGTCTAAGAACATACGTTCGTGGTCACATGACCCTAAAGTTAACGCTGTAAACCATTTAGCTCACACATTACTCATCGAGGGACAACATCACGTATGTCATTTTACTCAGGTATTAGCGTGTTAGCCACGGGTTAGGGTTAATAAAGAATTTCCTGTTACATGTATTATGTTAGCAGCGGTAAGCTAGTTTTACATGTTAATGATGCGGGTCCATCCCAGACTAAAGCTGATACATAATTATTAATAATGCTGACATCAGTGGAACCAAACACTCCTGGCTGCAAATGAAGATTAAACACAAGGATGTAAATCCAGTTGGAACTCATGTTTCAACTCCACAGTTATTAATAATTCAGCCATCAAGACCAAAGCTGCAGTTACCGCTGTGGGCCAGCGGTGGCGCTAATTCACCACCTCGTAGCTGCCAGCCACCCACAAGAAAAAGGTGATGTCACTTGTCTCGTCCAATCATGTTCACAAAGCTTTAGCTAGCCTAGCTGCTAGCCTGCCACGGAGCAGGTTTGTTCTCCAGCATGTGTTACCATGGTGAATGGCTAGCCACAGTGGTAGAGCTGATTTAGCAGAAGGTAAACCGGGATTTTCAAAGAGAGCCTGAATTTTGGGATTAGCTCGCTACGGGAAATACCCCCCTGGTTAGACATCCTGCTGGGAGGTAAACACTTCATGTGTCCTCAGGTAAGTCCAGGAGGGTCCAGAACTCTGGTCCTCCAGCGTTGGATAGTTGAGCATTCACACATCAACACAAAAAAACACAACCATCAGAACACTGGTTCAGTCCGGATCAGCTTATGGTTGTTGGTCTAACTGTTGAAGGTTCACCGGATCAGAGCCGCTCAGGGCCCAGGTCCTGCTGACGACATCACCAATTACAGCATCAGACACTACCAACAGAATGGCTCTCAGAATCATGCAGATACTTGAGTTTTTATGTTGTAACTCAATGTCTGTTCAATAAAGTTATTTCAAACAGGGAACAAGTATCTGCTACACAGGTTGTTGACGCGTCCTCGCACAGCCACGAGGACTGGGCAATAAATCTAAAATTTATCGTTATCAAATGTCTGACTTTTGTCGAGATTATTTTCCCATGTCAATAAATGTGATGATAAAAATGAAAAGATGTGTAGGTTAAGGTTCATGTCCCTTTAAGAAACTGTACCACCTTGAGTCACGTAAAAATGTGACTCAACGTGATACATCTTACAGCCCCATCTAGTGGACAACCTTTGTTTCTGCGCATACCTGTAGTTATCGTCTGTTTATCGTTATCAAGGTGAAATCGTGATATTGATTTTATTGCCCAGCCCTAGTCACAACCCTGAGCAGGTTCGGCTGCACAAGCACATCACACTCACGTGGCTCCTGGACCAACCTAAATATTTAACCTCCAGCCAATCAGGTGGTGTGATGTCATCAGCAGGCGCAGGGCCCGTGCAGAGCTGGTACCTACATCAGGTTAGTGTGCCAACTAAAAGCTCTACAGGGCATTGGGTTCTTACAGTGTCCTCATAAAACTAGATAACCCGGTTAGGGTCCAGATCCAAGCCCCTAAAGCGGGCTCTACTAGTGACCAACAAGGAGTAAAACATAACCTAGGCCAGGGAGGAGCTGCCTAATTATAGGCATGAAGAAGAATCATTAAAGATGTATATCTCTCTCACTCACTCACACACACACACACACACACACACACACACACACACACACACACACACACACTAAATATCTGATGACTAGGGAGGATGTGTCTGCACATGACAGACCTCACAAATCCTTTAAACACACTTTAGAGTGTATGAGACAGAGGTGAATAATTCAACAGCAGATGGCGGTCGGAGAGCTGCTGAAGCTGTGTGTGTGTGTGTGTGTGTGTGTGTGTGTGTGTGTGTATGTGTTTAGTGGACATCTCCAGCCTGAGCGCTGGGATCATCAGCAGATTCTGAAGGTTCTGATCCGTCGACAGACTGAAGGATGTCGACATCCTCCAACTGCAGCTTCAACAGTCTGACATTACATCAGCTGGTGATGAAAACCAAAAAAATCTGGAAAGTTTCACAGGAACTGACCCTGTCAAAATAAAAGTCTCCTGCCTGAAGCTTAAAATCCAACAGCCACATCAAAGAAATAAATAACTTATTAACAGCTGGAAATCCGGACGCCTGGTCAAAGAAACTCGATCGGTGGATTAATCAATAATCAAAAGTAAAGGTGACTCATCAGACTTTAAACATTCTGTTTCTTAGTCAAATACATGTAATATTTCTTAGGAAAACTCATCATTTAGGCTATAAAAATCTGTTAATAACAAAAGCTTTAAACATTCAGTGATCAAATACTATCAGATCAATACTTTGCTGATTCCTGTGAAAGCACAAAGAGTGGATTGATCAATCCATCATTCAGAGAATTGATTCTCAGTGAGTCCCAATCTGAGCTGTGAGGAGGCGGTGGCTCCATATCCACGGCAAGCATTAAATACGGAAGCCTAAAGGTGCCAAAAACAGAGCTGCTGTTTCTCTGGTCCGCCAAGGGGCACTGTGGGGTATAGCAGCTGCTTTTACATCAGTGGTACTCAGTCCTGGTCCTGGAGGGACAGCACGTTGTGTTTGCCACACCTGGTGTCAGTCAGCAGGTGATTAACAGGCTTCTGCAGAGCCTGATGAGCTGCTGCAGGTGATTCTCACACCGACTCAGGTGTAGTAGATAGCGAGTACCGCTGTTCTACATCATTATTGTTGCTCTGAACCAATTAAACCAAACTCAGCCCTACAGAAAGTGTTTGTGGCACCAACAGGCTCCCGTAGACCGACAAAAAACACCTGTGACAGTAAATCAACCATTCACAACAAAGTAAAACAGATGTGTTGACAGTACATTCCAGGTGTGACTGTGGTAAAGCTCCATCCCCTGCAGTGCAATCAACCTCAAGGGAGGGGCCAATCAATACCAACCAACGAATTAGCTTAATGCATTTTTACAGGTGATAGGAAATTAGTGATCAGTAGAGATGCCAAAATAAAACTCTGACCCTTCACAGGCCCGGCAACGTGCTCACAACCTGACACACAGGAAGTAGGAGGCACTAAGAGTTTGTGTATGTGTGTGTGAGAGTGCACCTACATGTGAATTCATTCAGTTGTGTCTCGGCTGACATTTTCAAAATAAAAGCCCTAGTTACAGAAACCAAACCTGTGGAAAGGCTTTTTTCGTTTTGCTCTGAAATGATGAAAGCAGCAGCATTCAGAACCAGAACCGGTCATGTGACTCAAGCCTTCAACACACGAGCTGTCCTAAAGTAAACCTATGATCTGTGATCAGCTGATGCCACCAGGATCACCTTCAAACAGATTCAGTCTGATCATTTCTAAACTGCTGTGTGTGTGTGTGTGTGTGTGCGCGTGTGTGTGTAAACAAACCATGGTGCCAGGTCGTTTACAGATAGGTTCTGACACTGATCAGCTGATGGCCTATAATACACACTCAGGTCATGCAGCGAGCTCGGCAGCATACGGTAAGGTATGGCTATATCCTGGATGGGAGGGGCCTGTCACCTGGTTGCCTTAGAGACATTCAGGTCAGTCCAGCAGCGTGCCTTGCTCCTGGGCTCGGGTCAGGCTGTCCTTACGGTGCAGGTGGTGCACCCCCATCCTCTTCGGGCTCTTCTGAGGGCGATGAGGGGAAGTGACAGCGCCGAGGGCAGAGTCAAATTCGAGTAGGTGGGACGTGATGACAGGCAGATCATTGGGTAGGATGTCTCGCTCTTCAGCTGAGCTGTCATCATCATCCTCATCTTTCCTCTGGGTGTCTGTGGAGCCGGTCGTCATGGTGACTGTTGTCAGAGTGGCATCATCAACGTCCTCCAGGTTCATCAGCAGCTGCTCCCCCCCAGAGCAGTCGCGGCCAGCTGACCGACCTCTCCTGCTGGGTCGTGGTTCTGTGTCGGTGTCAGTGTCCAAACTGGAGCCACGGCTTGGTGTCCAGCTCCTCGCTGAAGATCCTTCCTCTCCATCAGAGTACGCCGCTCTATGGTGGTCCGAAGAAGATGATGCTCCTCCCCCCACTGCCTGTCTCCTCCTCTGCAGCTCCTGGACTGTCTGACTGTTGAACGATGTGCGGTGCATCAAAGACCCATCGCAGGAAGGCGCCATTTTCTCCACAAACATCCGCTGCCAGTTGGCCAGAAGATCCTCCTCAGAGCTACCGGAGCTCGCAGGGATGCTTGGAGCCTGGGCAAGAGCGAGACATCCGGGTGTTCATTCAGCAAAAGAGTTCTGATCACATGAATTCTGCAAGTCTAAATCATCTGCAACACCTGGACAGGTCTAAAACATCTGGAACACCTGGAACCTCTAGATCCAAAACATCTGGAACACCTGGACAGGTCTCTAACATTTGGAAAACCTGGGGCCTCAATTATCAAATGTACTTACAGATCTGTGAGTATTTCGTGCGTAGGAACAATTCTACGCATAGTTTGGTATTTATCATTTTGTACTTGTGCGTGGAAACGTTCCTGAGCATCTCTGACCGTGCGTATGCACAGCGTCTAGTGGCAGAATGGGGAAGCGTAACACCAAAATGTCAGTCATCCAGATGTGTTTCTCATCCACTAATGTTATTTATCCAGTATGTAATTATGTCGGTGGAGTAATTGGTGCTAAAACCAATAAAAGACACGTGTGACCGATGGGAATCTGACATTATATCATGACTGATCTGTGTTATTGGAGGATTTACCAGAGCGTGCTCGCTGGAGGGAACGTGTTCTGCCTGAATGCTCTGATCTAACAGGAAATCCTTCTGCTGGGATTGGGACCCTTTGTGGAGCAACAGACAAACCTCACAAATTCGATCCCAGTTCAAATTTTATGTTACAAATAGGGAACCACCCAGAACCTCCTCCGCTCCTCGATTATACATGCCACGTTGCCAAGGTAACCAGACTGAATGACAGCTCAGAGGCTGAAAACAGCTGGACGTTTCTGGATATGTTGGAGACATTTAGCCTCTCATCCCAGAGGCATCTTCCAGAATTTGGTTGTGGTCAGAAACAAACACACTGATTGTGCTGCAAGTCTTTTTCTTTTTTTCTCCAAAACATGTTTTGTCTGAATGAAGGTGATGTTGTTGTTCACAGAATTAAAATTCATGTTGAAGTTAAGATTATTTCATCGACCTAACCTGTGGTTAGCTGGCTCATGCAAAGCATGTCATGTCTTGAAAGAATCGGAATCAGGAATCGATAGGAACCAGAATCGAAACAAGGAATCGGAATCGTTCAAAATCAAACGATGCCCAACGCTAGAAATGTGGGTGTCACATTTGATAGCGGCATGAAATTTCATAATCAGATCGATTTGATGATTAAGACTAGCTTCTTCCAGCTCTCGTCTTTTAGCTAAAGTAAATTCATTTCAAAGTCGCTGTGACCTAGCAGAGCCGTACATGCTTTTATCAGCTCCTGCTTGGACTACTGCAATGCTCTGTGTTAGGGCTGGGCGATAACGACCAAAACTTATATCTCGATATCTTTTAGCTGAATTCCGATATACGATATTTCCTCCTGTAAAATATTTACAGGTCAACTCACTTCAAGCTGTCTTGAGAAATTATAAACATAAATCAGTAGATTAAATGCATAAAAATGTATTGATTCTTGCCAAACTTTAACCTTAGTGCCTACACACACACACAAACACACACACACAAACACACACACACACACACACACACACACACACACACACACACACACACGCGCGCACACACACGCACACACACACAGTTGAGAGCTAAAGGTGTATCAAATGTCCCACAGGCACTTTTTAATTATACATTTATAATTAATGTAAAATTATTTAGATTTCATCTACAGGTAGGCCCTATCATATATTTCTTGTCCAGAGGAAAAAAAATCTATCATGTTAGACTAAATTTATGATGATGTAATTGCATCTACTGAAGATCACATGGGCCATTCACCGTGGAGTTATTAGTTATCAGGGCAAACATGGCTGGAGTCTAGAAGTGTTGGCTCATATCAGTGACTATACTGTAATGACTCAAGAGTTTTTGGTTGGTTCTTTTATGAGTATTATTTTCAGGCTACTGAGCCGTGACCCACTCATAACAAAATCTTAGCTTTTTTCAACAGAATCGCTTGTAACGGAGTATTTACTAGCATAGCAAACCAGAGCGGAAAATAACAGAACAACATTTCTCACCCGTTGAGCTCGCCTCCAACATAAAACGTTAACCCTATAGTTTACTATTCAAACCCTTACAATGCATTTGAGGTAATTTGGCCACTCTGGCTATCCGTAGATGTTTCCTGATTACACGGGGAGGGAGGGGTTTGGCTCGTCTCTCCGCACAAGCAGGATGTAAAAACAGAACTCCGTTGGTGTTGAACGTCCCCAAATAATTAAAAACCAAGACGCCAAATGCAAAGTTTAGAGCAGCACATTTACTTAGAGGCTCTCAGATTGCGCAAATTTGTGAGAATACACGCAATAACCGCTTAGAGACGAAGCAACATGTCGCTAGCACAGCGGCTAATCGCTAGCGTAGCAGTTTGACCAGTTATATCGATATCAATATATAAAGTCATCTTATATCTTGTTTAAAAATATCGATATTTAACCCAGCCCTACTCTGTATAAAGGTCTGGCACAGAAACATCTTGCCAGGTTGCATCTAGCTGCACGGCTGCTCACCAACATCCCTAGTCAGCAACACATCACTCCGGTTCTCTTATCACTTCACTGGCTCCCTGTCGGATTCAGAATTAAATTTGAGGATATAATGTTTGTGTTTACAGGTGTTCATGGGCTTGCACCCGCCTACATCTGAGACAGTCTCTCACTACAAAAGCAGGGCAGAGAAACAAGGTCCTCTGGTAAATGTTATCTACATGTTCCCAGATCTAAATACAGAGAGTGGGGGACCGCTCATTTACAATAAATGACAACTGATGTCCCTTTACTTAAGTCTGGATTAAAGACACCTCTTTTGCATGGCCTATGAAAATCCTGGGGTGTTGTAACATGCAGTGAATCTTGATTTTAACTGAATATTATAACGGTTCTGATCTCTATGACTTTTTTGTGGTTTTAACCGCGTTTTTCTTTTCATACTGAAGTTAAGCACTTTGGTCACTGTCTGGGTAGCGTAAAGCACTATAAGTAAACCTAGATGACTGATTAAAAAACAGTTTAGAGTAGTTCTCACCTTTAGTTTTCGTGCTTGCATTATTAGAGTGGTAGCTCTAAGTGTTTGGATGGGATGATGTCATTTCCTGTCATGTTTACAAACGCTACTGTGCTTGTTGAAGAACATCGTCATTCCAAATGAAATCACAATTTCTGTCAGAAATTCTAAATTCAATCTTTTCCAACAATTGTCCAGCCTCAGCAAGCAGCACAGAACTCTGGGAGTTGTCATCTTCTCCCCTAACTCTGTCCCTCACCATATGAAAGAGTATGTGGGAGGGGCTTGTTGTTACCTGTGGTGGACTGCTGAACGGGCTGGACTCGCTGGACAGAGGCTCACTGGTGGCATCGCGCTGTGATGGAGGTGTACGATGGCTGGCACCGCCCCCACCACCAGAAGAGGATGATGGGGCAGGGCTTCCAGGGGCAAGCCTCTCATCATCATTCTGCACCAGGCTGAGGGAGATGGCCTGCCGGGTGGCATAAGTGCAGTTGGGCAGAGGAGAGTTCTTGGGGATCTTCACCTTGTCGTCAGATGAGAACTCGATGACCTTGCGTCCAGGGTAAAGCGGGTGGGGCGGCAGTGGCGCAGGGTACGGGTTTAGCTTCTCAAAAGACTGGGTTCCTCCCACGTCCTCATCTAGGCTGCTCTGACTCCGACAGGAACCGTTCTGCTGTGGTGCCTCCTGGGCTGCACCGTTCTCCCTGGACTCAGCACCGGTGGGACCAGTCATGTCCACGTGGACAAAGACATCCTCAGCAACGGGCCGGCCGCAGCTACTGGATTGGGCGGAGTTCAGAACCAGTGGCTCAGGTTTCTCCAGGACCCGAGCGATGACTGAGGTTGGCACCACATCGGCAGGGGTCAAACTGAGCGTGTCCGGGTCCTGAGCACTGGGGGCGGGGCCTCGTTCCGGAAGGCTGCTCTTCATGTGCTTGTTCAGCATGTCCTGAAGCTCCGAGGGCAACTGCAAAAACACAAACCAACAGATGAACCCATAACACACTCGAACACAGTTTCTGGTCTCAGGTAGACATTTGATCTTTGGTCCAGCTACTTTCATGGGTCCCACACGGATGAAGGACTGTGTAAGGGATTCATCTCACCTTTGACCCTAACAATAACGTTTTCCAGAACTAGTACTGGTGACGTGGGTAGACGAGTTTGGTGCCCCCACCTGGACTCAGAAGGTTGCAGGTTTAAGGTCTGGGGCCTCATTCATCAAGCTTGCTTACGCACAAAACGGGGTCGGAAAACTGCGTAAGCAACTTTCCACGCAAACGTTGGGATTTATGAAAGAAAACTTAGCGGAAAAATGTGCACAACTTTAAGTTGAAATCCAGCAGCATTATCACTTGTACTGCTTCGTTTTCACACAGAACAAGACCCCCCACACATACACACACATGCATGCGCACACTCACACACACACGCACACACACACAGCAGAATATCAGCAGTGGGACAGATTGAGACGGAATGTCATGCGTCTGTGGCAGTGTGAGCGTCCTGTCACTGTGACCCGATTGATCATGCGCCCTGGCTACTTGGACAAGGGAGATCTCTGTTTGAGTGACTGGTTAGCATGCGTGACTTTCACCTGGGAGTCTGGGGATTGAATCCTGATTGGACCATTTTTTTTATATCCGCCACAGATCTCTCTGAAGAATTCACAACATTGACGGCTTCAGCAATGCTGTGCCGCTCCGTGTGTAGGAGCCAAATTGAATGCTTTTTGTTTATTATTATGGCGCAGATGTTTTAATTTTTCATCGTGCTGCAGGTGATGGCAGGGGGGCGTGGTTGACAAGTTCTTATTTGTCAGTTGAGCGTCAAACTGCGTTGGTGAGCAGTTGTCTTGAAAACTGTTCTGTTGACCGTCGTCGTCATGTTACTTTCAACCATTTAATATAACAGAAGCCAATTAATTCAATCTCAACCTATATATTTTACCCACAAATAAATCAACCCAAAAAACAAGAAGAATCAGAATGGTTTGTTGGAAGACGCATCACAGCCTGGCCCACTCACCCACAGCGGCGTTTTTAATGGAAAGAAGCCGCTACAATAAGTCAACAGAAAAGTTGCTCCATGCATAAACAAGAAGAGGGTTGTGACGAAGGACTGCATGGAGTGACGGCTTTGTGGATCGAAGGATTATCACCTTTGGAAGGAGTTTGGAAGCGGCTGCACTCGGGCCCTGGAAACGGATCAGCTGATCTGCCGTCACAAATGGAAAGCAGCGCAACGCCCCGTCTGAAGCGGTAGGACACTGATTTACGCTGTGTATTGGTTAATCGCTATGAACACAGTTTGAAAGTCACCGCTTGTCCATTGGGGACATTATTGGGGTGCGTATGCTGGAGAGTAAAGGCTGGAGGAAGTTGCTGTGAATCTCGCCTCGTGATGCAGCAGACTGTGCATATTGGTTTGCACTGAAGAACAGCTGTTTCCGCCAAACAAAGCCGTCTGAAGACGTTTGATGCATGTGATAAAGCAACAATGAGTGAAATTAAAGAAATGGAACGTGAATTGGAAGACAAAAGATCTGCTAAACCCATGGCATAAGTGCAGCTTGATGGGCCAGATGGATGGGCCCGTGGCTGGATTGGTAAAGGGCAGAGAGCTCCAGTCCGACTCAGACGCCAGCAAGGTGGAGGTGGAGTACTGGTTTGGGCTGGTATCATCAAAGATGAGCTTGTGGGGCCTTTTCAGGTTGAGGATGGAGTCAAGCTCAACTCCCAGTCCTACTGCCAGTTTCTAGAAGACACCTTCTTCAAGCAGTGGTACAGGAAGAAGTCTGCATCCTTCAAGAAAAACGTGATTTTCATGCAGGACAATGCTCCATCACACGTGTCCAAGTACTCCACAGCGTGGCTGGCAAGAAAGGGTATAAAAGAAGAAAAACTAATGACATGGTCTCCTTGTTCACCTGATCTGAACCCCATTGAGAACCTGTGGTCCATCATCAAATGTGAGATTTACAAGGAGGGAAAACAGTACACCTCTCTGAACAGTGTCTGGGAGGCTGTGGTTGCTGCTGCACGCAATGTTGATGGTGAACAGATCAAAACACTGACAGAATCCATGGATGGCAGGCTTTTGAGTGTCCTTGCAAAGAAAGGTGGCTATATTGGTCGCTGATTTGTTTTTGTATTGTTTTTGAATGTCAGAAATGTATATTTGGGAATGTGGAGATGTTATATTGGTTTCACTGGTAAAATAAATAATTGAAATGGGTATATATTTGTTTTTTGTTAAGTTGCCTAATAATTATGCACAGTAATAGTCACCTGCACACAAAGATATCCCCCTAAAATAGCTAAAACTAAAAACAAACTAAAAACTACTTCCAAAAACATTCAGCTTTGATATTAATGAGTTTTTTGGGTTCATTGAGAACATGGTTGTTGTTCAATAATAAAATTATTCCTCAAAAATACAACTTGCCTAATAATTCTGCACTCCCTGTATACGATCTGTAAGAAGAGTCCTCAACTCCATCTTAAACTTACAAAATCTTGACGAAGAGAGTCTCAGGACAGTTCTCTGTGAAGCTGAAGCTGTTTTGAACAATCGACCCATTACAAAAGCTTCTACGGATCCGAATGACCTTGAAGCATTGACCCCTAACCATCTGCTACTCCTGAAAACGATACTATCACTTCCACCAGGATTTTTTCGCAAGGAAGACCTGTATTTACGTCGAAGATGGAAACAAGTCCAATACATGGCAGATATATTCTGGAAGCGATGGATCAAACAGTATCTTCCACAACTACAACAAAGAGATGTGGTTCAACCCACAACGGAACTTTAAGCCTGGAGACATCGTGATCATCACTGATGAGTCAGCTCCACGGAATTTCTGGCCAACTGGGAAAATTCAAGAGACTATCGAAGACAAAAAAGGATTTGTTCGTCATCTTCGGATCAAGACGAAGACTGGGTTCCTGAATAGACCCATTAACAAAGTCTGTCTTTTGCAGGAGACAGAGAACATTTAGGAACTTGGACTGAATTTTCACCATAATGTTTTATTTTCTTCATGGAATATTGGATTCGTAAATTTACCAGGAAGTTATAGGTAACCATATTGATCAATGTAACACTAAAATGTAAATAGTTTTGTTTGAATTTTAGAACTGACGTAACCTGAGATACTTGAGTTTTGTAATTATTATTTGAAGTATAATAATTAGGGGCCAGTATTGTAGGAGCCAAATTGAATGCTTTTTGTTTATTATTATGGCGCAGGTGTTTTTATTTTTCATCGTGCTGCAGGTGATGGCAGGGGGGCGTGGTTGACAAGTTATTATCTGTCAGTTGAGCATCTAACTGCTTTGGTGAGCGGTTGTCTTGAAAACTTTTCTGTTCACCGTCGTCGTCATGTTACTTTAAACCATTTAATATAACAGAAGCCAATTAATTCCATCTCAACCTACTGTATGTATTTTACCCACAAATAAGTCAACCCAAAGAACAAGAAGAATCAGAATGGTTTGTTGGAAGACGCGTCACAGCCAGGCCCACTCACCCACAGCGGCGTTTTTAATGGAAAGAAGCTGCTACGTTATGGATTTTCTCTTATTTGTTTTGCAAAAGAACTTCCTTTCATTTCTCCACCTCACCCACAAGTACTTCAACTTCTGCTTGTGAAATAGCGCTTCCTTGATCTGCGGTTGTGATCGAAATGCTGCAACAAGCCGGCTTATGTATATGCATGAGATCCACAAGGCACATTGCATTGACCATTTATGGCAGAAAGTGGGCGTGTTGAGGGCGGGATGTGACAAAAAACCAGCTGAGAACCTTTCTCGTTAGTTTCTGATTTATGAAGCGGAGACTGCGTGCAGCTGTGCGTACTCCATGTTTGATAGATCACAAACCTACTTGGTGTAAGTACAATTTTTTTGCCGAGCTTAAGCACGGTTTTAGTAAGGATTCTACGCAATGTTTGATAAATGAGACCCCTGCTCGGTATGTCGCAGTTGTGCCATTGAGCAAGACACTTCACCCTCCTCACCTGTTGCTGGCAGCCTTGCTTCTGTTGGTTTGCTCCAGGGGCAGACATGGCTACAATGTAGCTCACCACCATCAGTGTGTGAATGTGGGCAAGCATTAATTATTGTGTTGTAAAGTGCCTTAGGGGGTTGTATAACCTTTGAAGGTGCATTTTAAACACAGGACATCTATCAGAGTTAATTCCTAAACATTCTGTTGTACAGACATGCTTTTATTTTGATGACGAGCATGTCCTCCTGCTCTGAGAGTCAATCCCTCAGGCAACACTGGTAGAACATCACATTTACAGCTTTATTACTGTCTTTGAGGTTCTGTAGCAGCTCTGCTCTCCCACTTGCTAACCCTTACCCTACGGCACCTGCTGGTGGAAATCTGTTACTGTAGCTTCCTTAAAACATGATCTCTGGAATTTTCATCCATCCATCCATTTTCTGAACCCGCTTGTCCACGCAGGGTCGCGGGGGGGGCGCTGGTGCCCATCTCCAGCGGTCAACGGGCAATAAGGCGGGGTACACCCTGGACAGAGAGCCAGTCCATTGCAGGGCAACATCGAGACACACAGGACAAACAATCATGCACACACACACGCACGCACACACACACACACACACACACACACACACACACACACACACACACACACACACACACACATCTAGGGACAATTAAGACAGACCAATTAACCTAACAGTCATGTTTTTTGACTGTGGGAGGAAGCCGGAGTACCCAGAGAAAACCCACGCATGCACAGGGAGAACATGCAAACTCCATGCAGAAAGATCCCAGGCCGGGAAGCGAACCCAGGACCTTCTTGCTGCAAGGCAACAGCTCTAACCACTGCGTCACTGCGCAGCCCCTGGAATTTTCAGAATATCCAAAATCAGAAAACTTCTACGATGAAAACCTGGGAAGTTTACATTTGGTGGAGTTGTCAGAGTCACTAACGATTAACGGATTTTCTGGAATGCGCTGCTGAGTCTCCATCCAGTTTAATGGATCTAATGCAGCCATCAACAAATCAATCACACACACATTCTTGGCTAGCATTCATTGTGAGGACTGTCACTGACTTCCATTTGTTTTAGTGACTGGATCGACTGGAACCCTAACCAGCCTACTCCTAACCCTGACCTTAACCAGAGCTTAATTCACACCAAACCTCTAAAACTGACGAGTAGAGCTCTGTAACATAGTATCGACATGAGGACATTTTGCTGTTCTTATTGTCCTCAGTTTGCAGGTAAAAAGCTGTCCTTGGTCCTCACTTTGATGTATAGATGAGTATACACACACTTCCTGCCAATGACTTTTGCAGCCAACTCTCTGCTGCTTTCTATCCCTCTCTTTCCATCACTCTGTCCAGAAAGGTGAATAAAACATTCTGTATTGACCTTTTGCACATGACATCACACTGCTCATGGAACCGCCCCCTTCATCCTGATGGATGACAGGAAGACCACTATTCACTATGTTGAAACTCCTGTGAAGCCCGTCTGTAGCCTTACATCTCTTTTATTTTGTTGATTCCACAGTAAAACGGCCCGCTTTTTCCCTCCGGTCAGTGCTCCCATAATTCACTGTTTACGTCCATTATGGCAAACCCCCATGGTCAGGAGACGTAGGTGCAAAAGGTAAATTCTTCGAGTTAAACTTCTAATTTCTACAACAAACTAAAACACTGGTACTTACGTCAGCAAACTTGTGGTTCCTGAAGTGTGACTTGTTGCATTTGAGCAGCTGAACAGCCAAGTTGCAGTCCTGTCTGTAGCGCTCCTACACACACACACACACACGCACGCGTTCATCTGTTAATATAATTTATGAATCCCAGCCAATCAGCTGTGTACTCGGTCAGGAAATCTCCTGACCCATGCTCAGCAGCTTATTACCTTTGGGCCTGAGAGTAGGGCTGGACAATAATTCGATACCGATATTTATCCATCATTAGACGTGTGGTTCAATAGAAAACAATGGATCAATAAAAACTTCAATAAAGGTTTCCTGTTTCCATTATAGCCTAATGGGTAGCTTCATACTAGAATCAAGACGTACACCCAACCAATCAAAAACACAGACCCAAGCAATGCTGCTTCACCGAGCCCTCCCCTCTCAAATCTAAACCTGGAGAGGTGGAAGAAAAAAGGTTCCAGTACTAGGTAGTAACCCTAACCAGTGTGGCGGTATCTTCATTCTTACAAGTCTGACCAAAAACAAACAAAGGTGGTTAGTGTAACGGAATGAAAGGACTGTTTTCCACCATTTCCCCCTCTCCTCAGCAAGAACTAATCTGCATGAGATATTGTTCAAGGTCTCATGCATCTACTGCTAAACTGTTTTCCTTTCCAGCCCAAGAGAAAAATGAAGACAAAGGACTCTTTCTTTTTAATAAATCAAAGAAATCTATTTTTAATAAGTTAATCAAACAAAGTGTTAGTCAATAGTAAGATGTGAACCAATTTGTGAAATGAAAATATTAATTACTTGATATTATAATCCTACAGAATATAATAAGTAATATAACTTTAAATGTTTCCACTAGAGACTGATTACACGAAAGCATTAAGACACATGACACATTGCTTTTACTGATCCAATCAGAATCTTCCAGATCTGACGGAGGCGTAGTTTTGTTGGTGCTTGGTAAGTCTGTCATCTTTTCATTCGACCGTAAATCAAAACATCCGAATTATAAAACTATGCCCACGTCATCTTTAACGCCAGTTCAAATCTTTCTAGAGAAGTTGTCGGAGTGGCCAATCCGTAACTTTCCTCTTCAGCCGAAAGAACCAACGACAAGCTGGATTAAATCTGTTGCTGTTCCAACTGCTGCAACGATTCCTTTCAGAATAAAAGCTGAACCATCACGACGCCGTTTTGGGTCTTGTTAGATGCCGATAAACTGTCGTGACCCGGAAGTATCTCAAAGACTGGACTGGTCGGCGGCCGCTGGCTGTTCTACAGGCTTCGGCTCCAGAAAGGTCCAAGCTGGACCTCTACACCTCCTGATCTAGACGGGGACTTCCGCCAAGGGTACGCAGACCGACAGAATGGCGTCTCAGTGTGTGTTATGGATCTCCAAATCAAAGCTTAGCGTGAAGACATCACCTTCACTCCCATCAGAACTAATCGTTTCTCTGGATTTGCTGGTTCTGAACAACATTCCATACTACACCATTCTCCGTCTCACTTCACCTTAGTTACACCATACATTTAGTGTTTAAAGTTAGTCTAGTTTTAATTTGTTTAGTAATAAATCTTTAAACTTTTAAAACTTGACTCTCTTTCTTTTGTCTTTGAGTTAATACGAAGTGGTTACATAATCCCTGCAATAAAAACTTCCAATCTTCTGGTTAAAAGTACCCAAAGACCCATAAGAGTGATTTCATATTCACTATGGAATCTCATGTCTTATGGTTCATTAAATAGATGTAAATGAAATTCTTACATAATGGCGAGCCATTTTGCCAGATATTTGTACATTTTCGACACTTCGTGCTCATTCTGAGACATTTTTAAACAGTCAAAAACTCAAAATTTGATGTTTCTGATTGAAAACGGGACGATCTCGTAATCCACCACTAGAGTGCAGCATCTCCATTTAAAGTCAAAAGGGGGAGTGAGACTGTTCACCTCCAACAGGAGGTGCTGATTCATCTCAAATCATTTAAGGGTGACATCAGCTCAAGCCCTATTGGAGTTCTATCACAAAGCACAGGTTTTTCCCCCGCTGTCATCTTTAAGGTAAATACATGTTTTTATGTCTTTTCTGCGTGAACTTCGTGTCACTGTAAATTTTAATCTGTGTGACTCTGTCACGTCTTTCTGAGTGTTTCGTGACACTGTATTATTCTTGTGTACGGAGGTAAAGAACTTCTCCACCGGAAGCTGAGCTTCCTCAGTTACCGAGTGATAGCCGGAACTGGTAAATTCCGTAGCTTGACTAGCATCAATTGCGACAGTCATTATAAGCTTTTAAAACTGAAGAGCGTGCTGCAGCACAAACTGCACATGCTAACTTGTCCGGAATATTAACGCGAAAGAGTCATGGACGTTGGGTTATTCGGACTGGTCAGTTCTACGACAGAATTAGACCGCAAAGTACTGTTTAGACAACAGGCCACGCTAGCTTAGCATGCCCAGCTGATAAAGTTTAGCTCTCGATTTCGGAAAAACGGAGTAGCAACCCGTCAGCTGAAAATCGACTGACACAGCAAATCTGTGTCACAAATCCGCTGGTTCCTGAGGGATAAAGCTCCGCTTTGGCAGAGTTTATTTAGCAGCGTTTTTAACACTTTCATGTGAGAAACGTACTTTTGGTTAGCCATTTGTGCTAACTGCCAGTTGGAGGTAAGGAGCATGCGCGCACGAGCCGCCATCTTGCCTGGGTAAGCCCACGCAACCTCTCCGACAGCCATCTTGGTAAGGTCCGCCTAGTGACATCTCTGGGTCATTACAGAAACAGTTATCCCTGAATCTTCATTAAAAACACTGCAATTTATCCTTTAACAAATCTCATTTTCAACCATCCAGTTAAGCAGGGGTTTCTTATTCAGCTTCCATTAATTTTATAACAAATTAAAGGACCTGTTACATCAGTACAATGGCTTCAGACCAAAATAATCATTTGACTTCTCTCATTTTCCAGATGAAAAATGAAATGCAAATGCAAAACCAACTCCAAATGCAACTCCAAATGCATATTTCACAAATGCAGATGCAATTTTTCCAGTGGAAAAATGAAATGCAGACCCAACTGCATATGCAGCTTTCTGAAATGAAAAACATGCAGATGCAGCTTTTCAATCTGCAACAGGAAGTCACAAAAGTCCAAGCTATTGGAGATGCCTCCCATGTGGGAGGGGCTCTAACCCTGTGCTCTGCTGATTTGCCTCCAGATAAGATGGAAGCACTGCAACCGGATGATTGGCTCTGAACTACAGGAAACACACAACATGTCCCATATCGCTCCATCCACACTGATGATAAGTGCAACCTCCACGGACAGTGGCCCGGCACCCCCTGGTGTCGAGCCCGACAAACTACTGTTGGGACCTCTCCTGCCTCAGGGGAGGGGTGGTAAGCCCACAGTATCTGTCATATTGCAACAGGGGCATCCCTGCAAGGCGCTTTTAGATACTGGTTCAGATTTTACAATCATTAGCAAGTCTCTTTTCGACCGCGTCTGCCTGGTTGTGGGTGGAATCTCATATCTTATGGTTCATTAAATAGATGTAAATTAAATTCTTACATTAGTAACAGAGAATCGATAAGAAGAACACGTCTGGTAATGCAACCCACTGTTTTATCATACAGTAAAGGCTTAAGGTGGCCAGGGCTGCACTTCAAAGGTCATATAGTTGCATATAGAGTTTTCAATTATTACTGATATCGATCAACATGATTTTTTGTTATTGATAGGCTTTTTTCTACATTGTCTTGCCCTATGAGAGTTCCCTAATTGGGGGACTTTGAAGTTTAGCAGCAAAATCTCAATAGATGTCATCAAGCTGCACCTCAAAAAACCACTGACCCTTGGCGACAAGACCATCTTTATGTGCTCCAAACACAACTAAAACTACAACCGAAGGAGTGATCAGATATGCAGTCAGACTCTCCTCTCTGCTTGTACAAGCATGCTCTAAACACAAAGCACCACCGATGCTGGTGGCGTCACTTCCCTCTCCATTTAACTTCCCTCTCCTCACTGAAGTTTAAAGCATGTTCGTGTTTTAACTCAATGGTTGACTGAGCGGTCAACCTTATTTTGGTGATTAATGCGTCATTCCACTGGTCCCAACGATCTAAAAGAGGTGTCACTCAGGTCTAGGTTAAGCAACAGTTTGAGCTCCAAGAAAGAGATCATCTTCCCTGATGGCACGACCGTTTACCACGATGACAAGGCCAGGATTCATGGGGCTCAAATAGTGAGGGAGTGGTTCGAGGAGCCTGAGGCACATGGATTGGCCACCACAAAGTCCAGACCTTAACCCCATTGAGAATCTTTGGGATGTGCTCCCACCCCCAGAGAACAACTTACATGGCATTCATTCCTACTAGAGACCACTGCAGGTGTATCCATTAAACGCCAGTAAAATGATATTTTTCTACCTTATTATGTTTACTTATCCATAATGAGTTAATGTATAGTGAACTGTTTTGTTCCACGACTTCATCACCAGCCTGCATTTAAGGGGACACTTTGCAACCGTATCTTTAAATCATTTTCTTGAGCCAGGATGTGCTAAAATAAGCCTTTACAGGGTTGATGAAAGGCCCCCCAGCCCCTAATGCCCCCTGTGGCCAGAATATTCCACTTGTAACTTCAGAGTGCCGGGCCGCTCTGTTGGACTTAAACATGGAGCTGACATACCTGGCACTGCAGGCTGCTTCCAGCATGTTTCCTGCACGTTTTAGATCTTGAACACAGCTGAGTTTAGTTCAGTGATGAATCTCTTCTGTAGACACTTAGGAAAGCTGGGAGACGTTTCAGCTGGTAGATTAAGGTGCTAACATCCCACTCTAATAACAGTTTTTAGCTGTTTAAAATAGTTCTCAGTGGTCTTTAAACTAAGATTATGCTGTTTTTAGTAGTTTTCTACTACTTAGTTTCTATATTGTGGCATTAGCTCATTAAAAATTCCCCTCTGGGTTGTGGGTGGAGCTGAGGACAGGGACACTCTAGCAAGGCACCTGACCCACATACAGGGGACCCGGGTTCAAATCCAGGCTGGGCCAGATTTCCTCAATTTAGTTTAGAAAGTTGGACTGAGCTCGCTTGCACAAGCCGGTCAGAGAGGAGAAAGCAAGTGGAGGGAAGGAGTAGCTCAGAGCTGCAGACAGAGCAGGTGGATGACTTCCAATCAGCAATCCGGACCTGAGACCGAACGTGCTTGTTCATTCTGGGTAAAAAAGAGACGGTTAGTTTTTGTTGCTTGGAAGTCATCCATCTGCTCTCTGCTGCTCTGAGCTTCTCCTTCACTCCTCCTGCTGCACGCTGCGGCTTCGTCCGCTCTGACCGGCTTGTCAGAGCTTGTGGTTACAGAAATGTATTGTAGCGCCACGCCATTAAAGTGTGGGCATGTCATTTCCACGCAGCTTTCTCAAATACATGCCTAGGGCCCAGAGGGTTAACAGCATGTTAACAAGCTGCTGGGAAGGAGAGAAATACCGCAGCAACTGGTTCTGTCCTCGCTGAACCTGGATCAGTAGAAAAAATTACAGAATCAACAGAATTCAGAGCCTGACCAACACCGCTCAGAGAATAATCCTAAATGTTCCTGGACCGATGTCTGACAGGTTTTCTGAGCCGTCAGGCCCTGAGGATGCTGGGTAAAATCTGACCATTACTACTGAAACCTCAGTGATAGCAAAAGTGTGAAGGTTTCTCACATTGAGCTCTTCCAGTCGGTCAATGGTGTTCTTGGCATCCAGCAGCTTATTGGTGAGCTCCACAATCTCCTGGTCCATCGTCTTTTTGTCCCTCTCCACCTTCCGTAGCTGTGGGAAACGCACAGAGGTGTTAGTTGGTGAGCTGACAGGAGGTTGGTCTTTAGCGGAACAGAACATTCAGATCATGTGGGAACCCCAGTCTGCGGTTATCTCAGGACTTCAACATTGATGCAACGAACCACATCGCTTTAGTTTTCCCAGATCATTTGAACGCTGCGCTAGCAAGCAGCACTGCACAGACGCATTATGGGAAGCAGAGGAGGTGCTGCAGCTGCAAGAAGATCAATCAGATCTGACGAGATCCGGATCAAAGCATCAAGCTGGGATCTGTTCAATCATCCATTTCTGCCAAAGCTAGCATGATTAGGTTAGCATACCAGCTATCCTGTCATCCGATCAGGACGACGCGCTACACGAACGGTGCTACTGCACCGTCAGTATGGTGGGGCGGAACCTGATCAATGAATGGGGCCTGTCCAGGCTAAGTGTTTCTGTGGGATGTTCTAACATCCATCACTCCAAAGCAGGTTTCAGAAACAACAGGAAGCTCTCACCTTTTACTCAGAACAGACTGGACCGGACCATTTCAGACTGAACTAGACCATTTCAGACTGAACCAGACCATTCCAGGCTGGATCGTATCATTCTGGTCTGGACCGGACCATTTCAGACTGAACTAGACCATTTCAGACTGAACCAGGCCATTGCGGTCTGGACCGGACCATTCCAGACTGAACCAGACCATTCCATACTGGACTGTGTCATTCCAGTCTGGACCGGATCATTCCAGACTGAAATAGACCATTCCAGACTGGACCGGACCAATCCAGTCTGGACCAGACCTTTCCAGACTGGACCAGACCATTCCGATCTAGATCAGACTACTCCAGACCGGACCAAAATAGAAGTGTGAACTAATTTATAGCCAGCGACAAATGAAATGTTTTACTTATAACTAAAACTTTGAAGCAGGATTCCAGATGTTCCAGAATGTTCTCCTGCCTGATTCCTGATTTCTCATTAAACAAACTGGTTCTGGTTCAGCTGTGAATGGCAACAGAGTATGGACCAGACAGACCAGCAGTACCATTTGATCATTTCTTCTATCTACAGGAGAAAAAGGAGAAACCTGCTGAATCAGACGGAGACGGTTTGAACACCGGGTCTGTTCAGCAGCAATCCAGCTCAGTGCTCAGAAGAACCATGACCCGGTTCTGGTTCCATCTGAGAACCAGAAGAATGTGAATGTCAAACTTCAGATGTCACTGTGTTGACCCAGTGTTCAAACTTAGAGGAAAGAGGAAGAAGGGATGAAGGTGAATGAAACGCAACTGCATGAACCCAAGTCTGACTGACGGCAGCCTGGTGAGGATGAAGGTGATGAAGATGAAGGTGATCCATCAGAGAGCAGCATGAGGAGAGAAAGGAGAAATGAGGAAGAACAATCAGAGAAACGGGAAGTCTGAGTACAACCATCATTTTATTTATCCTAGTTTTACAGCAACACCTGAGGAGACCGTCACCTGGAGACCAGATCAGAATTGAACCACTGAGAGGCAGGCGGGTCCAGACCTGGCCCTGAGTCCAACAGGTTTATTTAACCTAGATTAGTTTGCATCCTTTAGTGCTGCCCTGTGGGTCTCTGCTGCCTCTAGGAACTCTCCACACCTGAATCCAACCGTTCATCAGTTTGGTTTACAACTCATTTGCTTATAGAGCCATTAAAAAAAGTCTAATTTACCAGCCACGCTGGAGCACCAGCTCTACTCTGAGCCCCTCACAAATATTGGAGCTTCTCAGCTTATAGAAGCCTGGGCAGGGGATGGGTGGGTGTGGCCAGCTCTGGCTGGTATTCCCTGAAGCGGCTCATTCTGGACGGAAATGAAACATGGTTTGTATCGGCCATAAAACTTTAAAAAGTCTTATGGCTCCTTTAAAACATGACAATAAATAGTGGGCAGGTCTTGTTGAGAACCAGTTCTCATTGTTTCAATTCCTACGAATTATTCGCCACTTTTGCAAATGATTCCCCTTATCAATTCCAGCCAGTGCAAATGATGTCACCACGCACATTGTGTAGCTTTTGGAAGCAGGAAACATGGCATCTAAAGGTTTACACTTGGTGTCTGATGATGCTGAACCCCAGGTAAACTAAGGAAGATCCAAGATGGAGTCAGCGCCAGTGTACATGACCTGCTGATCGTCCGCAATAACACCACGGTTTTTCTATTATTATCTGTTTTTCTTCTTTTTGAGGGTAAGACTTCTTCGTTTTTGGAGCTGCTCTAGGGGAGATCTACAGATGTTGCAGCTGTGCCGATGGGGGGGGGGGGGGGGGGGGGGGTACGACCGGTTGTTGTTCTTTAATCCTATTTTAACTTATGGCAGCTCACACCTGTGGTTCCGTCTGGACTTTTCGGACCTCGTGGCGGACTGCATCCTGAAATATGACCATGTTTTACTTCTTGTTGATCTTAATATTCATGTATTGGTGCTTTCACATTAGCGTCAGCATGGTTGGGGTTTGATGGGGCTGGATGGCGTGTGTTCGGTCTCAAACGGGCAGTGTAGTGTTCACATTTAATCCAAGGGACTTCTCAGGAATGCGGAAGTCCCCGAGCTTGTGGGCGGAGTTTAATACGTGTAGGAAAGTCCACTCCATAAGGTAAACAAAGGCGGACATGAGCTGTGTTGCTTTTGGAGACTCGGGGCCACATTGTTTTATTAGTTTGCTGTGTGTGTCCTCGTGACCTTGTGCCACACAGACACACACAATGGCACGCACGCACATACGCACGCACGCACACGCACACACACACACACACACACACACACACACACACACACACACACACAGAGCTATTTTCTTCTCACATTCCCACACTGATCAGCAGCTCCGTTCTACAGACAGAAGTTTGCAACCAGCATGAAAATGAACGATGTAACACACCAGGAGTCTGTCATCACTCAACAGCATTTTAACCATCTCTTTGACATTCTGAAGAGCAGTGGAATGTCTGTTTTCATCTCCAGCCCGATCCCCACAGTTTTGCATGGATATGGACGTTTTAGCCGTCTGCTCTCTCTCCAATCCTGGCTTCAGTCTGCTTGCAGGTCCCAGAGTTGTGGTTTCATCGATAATTTTAACCAGTTTTGGAACCGTTTCTCCTTTTTGAGGCGAGATGGTATTCACCCTAACTAGGGATGCACCGATCAGGTTTTTTGCTGCCGATCACCGATACCGATATCAAAGAATGCTGATCACCGATACCGATCACGTGGATTGGCCAGAAATTTTCTACATTATAATGAGTGCTACAAACTACATAATCTGGGAATAAAGGAAATGTAACCTAATCTAAAATGGTCTGTATTAGGGTTGTCACGGTGTGAAAATTTAACCTCACGGTTATTGTGACCAAAATTACCACGGTTTTCGGTATTATCGCAGTATTTTTTTTAAATGTGCTACATTTTCACACAATTAAATAAACCCTGTATGTCAGGAAATATTGTCCTCAGTTTTGTGTCTAAATTTTGCCTAAAATATGTTATTTTGTAATTATGTTGTTTATTTGTTTACATTTTTTCCCTTTAGTCTTTAAAATACCAATATTTGCCCATAACTTCTTATTTTATGTCTGTTTGATGTCATCATTTTAAAAATATTAGATCAGATGATACTCAGTACTCGCCTTCTAATCAGATACTTTTTACCCTTACTTGAGTAATAAACCCTATATCAGGAAAATATTGTCCACGGTTTGTGTTCCAGTGAGCTTTGCAGATTTGGGAAAATGTCATCAGGCAGTAATCATTGTTAAATTCGTAATTATTCTCGGAGAGAGACCAACTCTTATCTGCCCCTGGGAGCCCCGTAATGCATAGCGTCATTTCAACATGGGGGTGTCCGTGACACGGTTTATATGCAGGTAGCGGCGCTGCGGCTGCTTTATATAGCGACTCGTTGCATTCTCCCTCAACCCAAATCCTCGGATCACGCATTTTAGCTAAAACGCTAACTTGCCTTGCGTTGACTGTAGAGTTGTGGGTGATGGTCACGCAGATGTGTCATGAGATTTGAAGCGTTGCTGCCTTTCACAGACACTTTTTCTGCACGTGCTGCAAGCAGGATAGCCATCTTCTATCAACTGCCCTTCAGCATTCTTCAAATATCCAAAATATGCCCGTACTTCCGACTTTGTCTTCTTTGAGGGATAAAAAATGTCCTGAACGCTGCCGTCTCCTCCTTTGGCCATTATTTCAGCTTTAGCTGCAAGAAAGTTTTGGTTGTAAACAACAAAGTGCGCATGTACCGCCGGCAACTTCAGCAGATGATACGGTGGCTGGTAAGGGTCACCGCGCCTACACCGCAGCCACGGCAATCCACCGAGATAATATAGTTTTTTTTAAAACAAGACGGTTATTATTATTGTCAACTTTTTTTTTTACCGGGGTTTACCGCTACACTAGTTACTGTGACAACCCTACCTGATCGGTCTGCTTTGATCTATTTTGAAAACTCCGATCAAAACCGATAGGGGCGCTATCGGCCGATTGGGATCAAATGCTGATCCATTGGTGCATCCCTAACCCTAACAGACATGGCTCAAGCATGCTAACTGCTAACATCCGGTATGCTGTGCAGTCCCACAGATATACATCTATGGTGGATTCCCTTCCACAGACATGACGGTTTACATCCCAGAGATCTTCACCTTCTTTGGCCTTTGCTCAAACCTCCACTTCAAATAACATCACACCCTACAGTCCTCCCATGAAGCAACAGTTTTCTGTGTGTATTCCAAAGGTCACAATTCCTATAATGTTGTCTTTTACTGACAACCCCAAAAGTTTCCCTATTCCAGTTCATTTATCAACCAGCAAAGACATAAACTGTACTCATGGCCGAAGAACCCAGAACACAAGATGTTTACGACCCATCCCTCTCCAACAGGTTAAGAAGACAAATGTTCTCCAGGATTCAGTTCAGTGTGCCCTGTTAAATGCCCACTCCATCTCAAACAAATCCTTTATTTTAAATGAGC